GGCACAGATAACTGGAGATTTGGGGGAACTTTAGTACCCTAAAAATGCTGGAATTGCATAAATAAATAAATAAACACTAAGTTTGGAACAGAAGCTCATTTATCTCACTTTATTAAGAGTGGACAAATTTAGTCATGGTACAAAACTATTCACTAAAGCATTAAACATGGGCATAATGAACAACCTACAAATCTGAAAACAATTCCAAACAATGATCTTTACCCTGGGTTTCTTGAAATGAAACATCTATAAGCTATAAATCATAAGTTTTGCCCTTTTATACTTGTAAAGTCATACACTAGCTGAGCCACGACTTTGATCCAAAATGGTAAAATTATGTTTTAATTGGACAATAGAGCACTGACTACACTCACTCACAGCACTGATTGCCGGTAGCACCATAATCATTTTTATCGACTTTACCACTTTGGAAAACAGCTGTTGTTCAGTTTGAGTGAGCAAACTGGGATATTTCTGAACTGACCTTTTTGTACATTGAATACTGGATACCATAAAATCAACTACTTTGAAGAAGGTGTACTTAGGAAATTCCTTTGCTGAATTTGGATAGCTGGGTTGACCTCCCGTATTTGCATTTTCTTGGGAACTTTTCTCTTCCTTGGAAGCTCAGACATTCTGACTATCTGCAATTTTAAATTTATTCTGGTGGATTTGCACCCAGAACAAATTAAAGGTTTCATCTGATTGGATGGACTGAAGTGAATAAAGTGTCATTTTCATAAGAGATTAGCCTTCTGTTGCTGAAACATCCAACCCATATTTAGGTCTTTTCAACCTAGTTCAATACAAAAGACGAAGTTAAATTTTTCCATTTGAGCTGCTAGGTCACTAAATTCAAGTTCTCATTTCAGGATCTCTCATTGCATCCTCCACAATCTCCCACGTTCCACACAGTGGAAGATAGTTCTCAAAAACTGAAGCCAGTGCTACCACCTGGAGAGTATACCTGGTAGGAGAGAGAACCCAGATACCTGGTGATATACTTAACACTTTGAATATGATGTCCTGAAATATAGCCCCTCATTTGTGTGATATTTTTAAATTAACTTTGCAATTTTATAAACAACTTCCAGCGTATCTCTTAGGGGATTGTATTATTTTTAATAGCGTCTTGGCATGCCAAATTCCAAGCAAGCACATGATGAGTATATGTAGCTTGTGGGGTTCTTCCTGTTACAATTGGATTGCTGTCCCTGATACAAGGGGCTTGTCTACATGAGCACTTAGTTCACAGCATGCTGGGGTGTAAATCTACCCTGCAGCGTACTTAGTGTCCATGTGGATACTGCTGCTGCATGCTAACAGTTCCCTAGTATGTTTTGATCTACTCCATTTCAAAGTGGGCTAGATACTTAGTGCATGACACACTAGTGCGGGGTGGATTTATATCCCTGCTTGCCATGACCTAAGTGTTCATATAGACAGGCCCCAAGCCTACCATATTAATGACACCATCATAACATTGTCTGTGATAGGTGTTGATCCTCACTCAGATTAGGTGCAATAATATATCTTTAATTAGATCCCACAGTGTACAGGCAATATTATACAATCTGATGAACTCTTCGTGAACATTCATATAATCATCCATGCATTGCAGGCATAAAAACACTTGCTCTTTCTCAGAAAAATCTGTTGTTGCAGCTACCCTAATTGTATACTGCTTTCCAGAAATTTCCCTCATGATTTTAAGTCATGATTTCCATTATTTCACTTTGAATATCTGGATTGTGAATTTGTTTAAACCCTTTCTCAGCCACTTTGAAATATTAGGATCTCATTTTGCCTGCAAACAAAGCAGTTGGAAACAAAGTCCATTTTGCCTGCAAACAAAGTCAGTCTCTCCACTTAAGGGCTTATTTTCAGCTAGATCAATCTAATAGCCTTGCAGCGTACGTCCTTGTGTAGCAAGATAATGTATACTACTTAGTATTCTATTAGGATCTTCCTGTTTTCTTCTTTCTTCTGAGAGTACTGATAACTTAGCATGTCAACATCATTCTTTGTGGTCTTTTGAAGAATATCAACTGCTTTTTGGTGATATGAAGAATTTTGGTGCCTCTCAAATTTGTCATCAATCTTTTTCCAATTAGTGAATCCAGTGTGTTGAAAGGTTCATCTTTTGTACTGTGCCTACAACATACATTCTTACCAGCTTCAGAATAATGGAGCCACTGAAGATCATCCAACGAGGATAAGCAGAAGGAATGGTCTCTTTTTCCAAAGTTTTACACAGAGAAAGACAAGTCATGGTTGATGAGAGGTGTCTCAGAAATGCTAACAGTCTCAGGACACTGCCATTTACTTCCTGTTACAAGTAACGGTGGAGACAGTCCAGTAATGCAACCTGCAGAAGTTGATTTACTTATTATTGAAAGTGTAGTTTCCTCCTTTTTAATCAACCACGTTTTAAAATTATTTCATTTTAGCACCTTGAATGTAGACACTTTGGTTTTGTACTTCACTCAGTCAGTAGTCACTTGGTAAGAATGGCATAGGACTGCACAATTTAAAAACACACACAATACTCTCTGGCAAACTAAAACATTTAAGTGGCCTCTTGGTTTTATATAGTGACTGTGTTTTAATAGTGATACTCAGACTTCAGTGGTTCAGGAGCCAAATTAGAGAGCAACACTATCCAAAAGAGCGATAGTAGTGTGAATTCATTGTTTCATTTACTATATTCGCATTTAAACACTATGAGGGAAAATATTTAGTGTTTTTATTTATGTATATACACCAATCAGGATGCTTTTACTATGTTATTAACCAATTGTAGCTGATAAAATAATAATACTTGGTCAGTCATTTTTGCTGTGAGAATAATTATATATCATTCATATATATAATAATTCTCACAGCAAAATGACTGTCCGACTATTATTATTTTATCGACTACAATTGGTTAATAACATAGTAAAAACATCCTCATGCTTAATAACTTAGATTGATTAATAATTAAATCACACTGTTTCAAAATCATGTGCTGTAAAGAGCCACAGGAGACACATTAAAGAGCCAGTTGTGGCTTGCAAGCCTCAGTCTGAGTATCACTGGTCTAGAATTGGCAGAATGAAGAAAGGGAACAGCCTAAACCCAATTAGTTTGTTACCCTGGATAACAATGATTTTATGAATCCCCTGGAGACTAACATGGAAAAGACTATAAATAAGATGGCAGGTGGAAGCCCTTTGACCTGAGGCATGATGGGACTGGGGTCCAAGTCTGCTAAAGGACAGCCAAGGTCTTCCTAGAGAGAAGGGGTCTTCCTGGACAGAGACAGAAAAAGAGGATCAGTAGCATCATGAGAGAAGTGGGAATGTGCTAATAAAGTTTGCAGATGATACAAAGCTGGGAGGTATTGCCAATACAGAGAGGGACTGGGATATCCTACAGGAAGATCTGGATGACCTTGTAAACTGGAGTAATAGTAATAGGATGAAATTTAATAGTGAAAAGTGCAAGGTCATGCATTTAGGGATTAATAACAAGAATTTTTGTTATAAACTGGGGACGCATCACTTGGAAGTAACAGAGGAGGAGAAGGACCTCGGAGTATTGGTTGATCACAGGATGACTATGAGCCGCCAATGTGATATGGCCGTGAAAAAAGCTAATGCGGTCTTGGGATGCGTCAGGCAAGGTATTTCCAGTAGCGATAAGGAGGTGTTAGTACCGTTATACAAGGCACTGGTGAGACCTCATCTGGAATATTGTGTGCAGTTCTGGTCTCCCACGTTTAAGAAGGATGAATTCAAACTGGAACAGGTACAGAGAAGGGCTACTGGGATGATCCGAGGAATTGAAAACTTGTCTTATGAAAAGAGACTCAAAGAGCTTGGCTTGTTTAGCCTAACCAAAAGAAGGCTGAGGGGAGATATGATTGCTCTCTATAAATATATCAGAGGGATAAATACCAGGGAGGGAGAGGAATTATTTAAGCTCAGTACCAATGTGGACACAAGAACAAATGGATATAAACTGGAATTTTCCTCCAGGGCAGATTGGGAGAGGCCCTGGGGTTTTTTCACCTTCCTCTGCACCGTGGGGCCCGGGTCACTTGCTGGAGGATTCTCTGCACCTTGAAGTCTTTAAACCACAAGTTGAGGACTTCAATAGCTCAGACATAGGTCAGGGGCTTGTTACAGGAGTGGGTGGGTGAGATTCTGTGGCCTGAATTGTGCAGGAGGTCAGACTAGAAGATCATAATGGTCCCTCCTGATCTTAAAGTCTATGAGTCTATGAAAAGGAAGGAAATAGCCAGCCTGGCCACAAAACCAGTGGGAGAAGTACAGACAGGTTGAGCCTCACCCAGGCACACACAATTCCTCTTCCCAAGAAGAGGACTCCCTGCTTGCTGAGCCATTTCCCAGCTAGGGAAGAAAAGAGACAAAGCCTGCTTCAGGAAAGACCTTCAACTCAGCCCCAGCTATCAAGAACCAGTTGATATCCCAGGGGAAATGGACCATTAGAGGACTGTGCCCCCAACTGAGCTGAAGAGAACAATCTGTCAGTTATCTGGGACTATAGCCACTACAGTAATTAGAATAAAAAAAGATCATCAACAGCCATTACTGTATTATTGTTTAACTCTAGGCCCCACTTCCTCCAAATAAAAAAAAAATTGTCTACGCTCTGTTGCGGAGTTGAGTCACACTCCCATAGACATTCGATAGTGGCAAATTTGCATTGATTTCAGTGAGCCTGTACACATCAACAGAGGTTCTCATGAAACAGATTTATTGAAGTGTATTGCTTCTCAGATATATTTTCAGAAATTTCCTGTTACACCTTTTCCTGTTGGGAACTGCAGTCCGATTTTATTTGTGTTTATATTTAAATAATTTTGGTTTCTAAAACGAAGTCACAACAGGGGCTTTTACACAAAGTTGCAGATAATCAATGCTTCTTAGGATTTGACTCACACTGTTATTAAACAACAATTATCCTGTGTACTATTTTCTATCCTATAACAGGGATATTCAACACCAATATGCCTTTGGAATATAATGTCTTACTAAATGCTGGCAGTACCTCACCATTGGTAAGACCAGTAGGGCGTCCTCATTTTGTCCTTGTGGATGGCCTGGATCCATACACACAGTACGAGATAAGGATACAAGCTTGCCAGAATGGTAAGATGGCTTCAGATGTTTCACTTGCATGATCGACAGAGAGAGCAGTTTTGCAAAATAGATTCAGTTCAACAAAATAGATATCTTATTTCTAAATTGAAGTGAAATGTTTACCCAGTAAAAATAAAGCCTAGCACTGTGGAGCATTATACATTTCCCTATATTATATCATGAATATTTTAAGTGGAGATTAAGCTCTCTGTATTTCTGGGAATATATCCTGTTTTATCAAATGCTTTATGAGAATAGCTTAAGTGTTTTTGAAATATCTTGCTCCCCGTAGGAGAAAATCCTTGCCCCAGTGGTGTCAGTTGCTCCAGTATTTGGCTTATAAGGAGTAATAAACAATAACAAAAAGATAGCTGGAAAGCCCAGATAGTATATAGAAAACATTCACTTTCTACTTCCTTATTTAAAGTTATTGGGAATGTTCACAATCTGATCTGAGAAAGAAAATCTTGTCATGTGGCAGACAGGGCCTGGTTCTCTTCTCCCTTATGCTGTTGTATATCAAGAGTAACTCTGTTGAACTCAGTGGGGTTACACTGGTTTAAATTAGTACTTAATTATGAGGTTAAGCACTTATTTGAGGCACCAATTTATTTCCTACACACAAACTTGCTATTATTTCATTGTTACTTTAAGTAACTGACTTCAGGCATGCTAGATCCTGAAACTCAGCCTTAAAGAAAACTGTGAAAGAAATATGGAACATTTGCTATTGCCTTTAGTGGGAGCAGAGTCAGGCCAACACTAAACACTTTTAAAATTCCCATCCAAAGTCTTCAAGCTTCTTCCATTGCTATTTTTGTTATTGTGCCCTTCATTATGGGACTTTGTTACACATTCTAAAGGCCAATCTCAGATAACTGGATCAGGGCAGCTTGGCAGCTATGATGTGACACAGACTGTATTTAAAAATACATATTAAACACTTTAAAAAGGAAAATGAATAATTAATTGGTTCACTTTTCACACATTGAATGCTCGTATTACTACTACCTTTACTTCACATCATGATACACTCCTTTTCCTTATGGCTAAAATATCTAAATTAGAAACCTCTGCTTTTATCCAAAGAAAATAGCCACTGTATATTCAGATTAATGAACAACTTTTGTTCCCTACATTTCCATGCTTTAGACAATTAAAAGATCCCTTTTTTGTTGTTGTGGAAAACTTTGACCTTTTAAGTTAATTTCTGATTTTCTTCCCAGGTGGCTGTGGAGTAGGCAGTCGGACATACGCAAGGACTTCCGAAGCACCCCCTAAGGAACTGAATCTACCTATAGTTAGGGCAACTGGATCTGGAGTAATAGAAGTAAAATGGTTACCACCTAGGAAACCAAATGGAATCATAATTAACTACTTTATTCACAGGTAGACATTTTTATACCTCTATATCATCCCCTTGCATTTAGTCTTAATAAAGCATTTACTTAAGTAGTCCAAGTAATATTGGTATGTGAACATAGTGTTTAAAAATGTACAGCATGCTGTTTGAGCCATGAAGCGAAGCGTTGCCTGGTTTCTGGCTTTTTGAGTGTTACGTTAGGAGGATATTCGTCAATGGATTGACAAGTTGCTGATAGGAACTTCAACACAGTTTGTAATCTTGCTCCATGTTGGAACTACCATAAATGACAGAGGCAAAATAAATGGATGAATGGAACCATATGCTTGTAGACTTGGTGCAAAATGCCTTCTAACCACAATTAGGTAGAAGATGGCAGTTGGAAAAGAGCCAGTTTTGACTTGGGTAGGAGGTAGAGTGCATCTGAACCAAAGTAATGATGATGTAGTTGGGTTACTGAGTCAAAATTGAAGCCAGAAATTGGAGACAGGTAGTCAAAGACACAGAGAGGACACAGAAGGTACTCAAACATAAATGAATGTATACTATATGGCTGCTTAAATGCTGACCTCGGAATAGGTGAGGTGTTAGTTACACTGATAGGAATAGGGTCATACTAGGCAGGACTAGTGGTGGTGGGCCCTCTGTTTAAGCATTTAAACTGAATCAGGGTGTTTTGGAGATCACGTATATTATTTGCCAGAAATAATTACATTGGGGTAGTATTACAGTGCTCTTCCAGTTAAATTACACTGATGAATGTCTCCTAGTGTTAATCTATGCCTCCCTGTCAAACCTCTGCTCCATAGTCTGCTGGCTCCCATAAGACTGACTGGCATGTCCTTGTGGTGCTCTAGATCTCCTGAGCCCAGCGTGCAGCCTTTTCTACATAGTTAGCTGTATCTTGGAAATCTGGCTCTGCAGGAGTCTGTACTCTGCAATCAGCTTTGTGGAAGCCAACTGGTGGGCAATCCTTATTAATGTAATGTGGTGGTTTGGGGACGCAGAGCATAACCTCTGCACTAGAGCCTGCCAGCTCTGAGCAAACCAACTGGCATGCTCATGCATCAGGGAAGCTTGCACAGCAAGCCTTGAAGTCTGAGCTCCAGATTCTCTCGTCTCAGAACTTTCTGTCTCCAAGCCTGTGGAGCTGGCTCCCCAAGTTTTCTGAAGCCAGGATTTTTCAAAAGCTTCAGGTGTCCCCCAGGTCCTTTGGATATTGGGAGGTTGCATTGTATTGCAGTTGTATATAGGGAGAGGGAATTTCCAAAAGAGAGCAAGTCAAATTCCTCTTAGCGGATGTTTGAATGTGTAAGAATAATTAATGTAAATTCACATTTGCCTTAAATATATTAGCACTGAGTCTCTAAAAATGCCTGATCTCTTTAAATACCTTTTTCATCTGCTCACTGTTAATTGTATGAGAAAAACACATCAAGTCTCTACTCCTTATCAAAGGAAATAAAGTATCTGTTTTAGCCCAAGACGTGGCTTCACTCTGTTGGTTTTGTAAATAAAGCTGATGATTACGGTTTCTATTCCATGGCAGCCATAGAAGGGGAAAACAGGAAATATAATGCAGAAAGCCTGCTTCAATGAAAAATACTGTAAATTGAATTTGACAGCATTTGATGGCATTTGATTATTCTAGTCACAGCCAAACAATGATATAAAGAGTAATATGAAACAGAATGTGTTACTGCCTAGCAGACTCAAAAGCAATAAACCTTCCTCCAATGTGACACAATCACTTCACAATCATAATTGTAGCCTGTTTGATACCTCTGAGTACAGCAGAAGGGCACTGACTGACATAGATACATTTTGTTTTTTATTTAAAGTGAAATGAAAATGGCGCACTGGGGCTCCAGATACAATCGTTATATTCACCTACATAGGCATGAATCACTTGGCAGTTATTTCAGCTGAAGTTTAAATGTGCTTAGACAACAACAATATCAAATCTTTCTCAGATAGCTGCAAAAAAAATCAGAAATTTGTAAGGACAGAAATGGGATGTAAGCATATAGTTCTTTGTCATTCTGTAGCCACACGTAGGCTTATATTGTTATAGCAACAAGACTGCAGTATTTCTGGAGGAGGTTATGGCATGTAATTTCTTCTTCATCATTTGCCTCTTCCTTGCTATATCTCCACCAAAACAAATCCATTTAACTCAAAACATTGAATGTTTGGGAAACCTTCATGTGGAGATGTTTCTATTAAAATTGCAGGAGTTTTACTTGCCTGTAGAATTATAAAAATGCTTACAAAATAATTGTAATTCTGCCATAAACATTTGGGGTGGGGAAGTGTAATTGGTTGTATTTTACCTCTGACTAGTGGGACAGCTGTAAACATCTCATAGAATAGAGGCAGTCACATTTTTTTCAACAAGGACCACAACTTAATAGAGACTGTCTCGTGAACCACCTCCCCTTTCATTCACAATAATGCAGTCCACTGCCCCTCGCATTCAGTATTATATAACATCTCTGTGACAACCACAGCAGTTGCTAGCCTGGAAAAGGAATATTAGGGAAGTAGTTTAATGTATTTCTAGCTGTCTTTTAATGAGATGTAGTAACTGGAAACAAGGTGAGCTGGCATCATGTGATCACCAGTCACCAAGTGCTCTGTGGTCCTCAGTTTGAGAACTGATCATATAGAAAAAAATTACCTATAAAATTAGAAATATGTGGGGTCCAATTCAGATCTGGTTTAAGCTGGTGCAACTTCAGTGGAAGTATCTCAGCTAAATTCAGCAGGGATGAATTATTTAGAAAATAAATATAAGTGGGATAACAGTGTAACTTGCAAAGGCCTGTCATTCAGTAAGTGTGCAAAATGAGTCTAGGGGAGAGGGAAAGGGGTTTAACAGAAAAATTAACAGTAGTAGTTAAGATACAGCAAATGCTATGGGCTGTTGACAGCTGTGACTTGCTCTTCCTTATTCTTCCCTTTGGAATGTCAGTTATGCTTATTTTTCATACCCACTGAGTGCCCGTTTAGTGTTAGTTACACCACTTTACTACTCCCCGTATTGTTTACACTTGATGTGCAGCTTACTAGACACTTAGATGTTACTGTGATATAAAGACCTATATTGATGGCTATATTGACCTCTGTGAGTGCTGCATTTGGCTCATGATGATTATCATTTTTATTTGTAATTAATATAAACCATGGTCTAAATTACTGTTTTAATGTGCGCCCAACTCATGTCCTTTTTTTTTTTGGTATATGTTTCCTACATCAAAGTCCGTATTTTTTTAAAAAGAAACACAATATAAATTTCTGGAGGTGTGTCACGATTGAATTATAACTAGTTGCACTGCATGGAAGATAGTATTAGGGTGCGTTGTGAAGCACATTGTCCCTGCAAAAACTTGTAGGGGCATTTTGCCTCAGGCCTGTACAATGCTTCCAAGAGTAGCCCCTCACCACCTGGGCCTAGGGACAACATGCAGCACTAGTCCATGTTCTCTTTTGACTTTGTGAGGATTGGGGTCAGGATGGGACATGGCTCTGAAGGCATATTCTGAGCATGGCCCCAGAGGCAGAGCTGGTGCATCCAAAAGTACAAGGATTCACTGACTATCTCCCACCACCATGTAAGGGAGGGGAAGAGCAGGTGCTGTAGTCACTGTTGCAGCCTTGTGGTTGTAGTAGTAGCTGTTTAGTCATCTGGCATGGAAGATGATGTCCCGTCCTCCCGACCCCTGCTAGAGCTTGGTGTGGGCCAGGGAGGATTTGCCCAGTGCTTAATTTGTAATGAAAGAGGTGCCGAGGGTCAAGCAAAGAGATGCTGGGACTCAAGCAATGATTTACTTTCATAACTGATGCAGCAAGCCCAGAGGTGCCGGGGCTATGAACTGCCAAGCCTAGAGGTGCCAGAGCTCAGGCCTGGCAAGCCCTGGAACAAATTAAGCACTGGATTTGCCCTTTATAAAATAACTCTCTCTGAACATCTTTAAATTGAGCATAGGCAGCAAATCAGAGTGTGCAGATTGAGACAGCTTCCAGCTCCTGGAAATGTTGTTTTCCTATGCAGCTCACTGTAGAGAAGAAACACTTCCAGTTAAATGAGCAGTTGAATCTTAAATCTTAAGTCGATTGAAATGATTACAGACTGTTCAACCACTTCTGTTCAAAGTTTATTCATACATGAAGATATTCTGGGTTTTAGCACCACAGATGGAACCATTTACCTAACCATAAGTTTCATTCATTAAATATTCAGTAGTAATAAGATCTAAATACTTAACCAGACTACAATGTTCAGCTTTGCTTGCGGCTGAGCTTACAGTTGATGGCATATTTGATCTGTCACTGTGGAGTAGCTGTTTCTCACAGAATTTCTAAAATGGTACTAAACATAAATTTGTGAATTCTAGGAAGTGCTTTAATGGTTAATTAAATTGTTGTGCTAAGCAAGCCCAGATACCAGGTATTAAAGATAACTTTATTACACTTAAAATGACACCACTTTTTTACTTCTCTTTAGGAATATTTGTAAATACATTGGGAGGAGAGCACAGTTATAATATATTGTTATTTATAATTGTTTGTGATGGCATAGGTGTGCATGACACTTTGCAGATAGAGTTGTTGCAGTCGTGCTGGTCCAAGGATATTAGTGAGACAAGGTGGGTGAGATAATGCCTTTTTATTGGACCAACTTCTGATAGTGAGACAAGCTTTTGAGCTTATGCAGAGCTCTTCTGCAGAGAAACTAACTCAAAAAAAGAGGGTCACAACTAAATAAAAGGTGGAGCAGATTGTTTAGCATAAGTAGTTTATGCATATTTCAAGGGACCATTCAAGGTGAAGTGGCCCATTAACACCCCTCCAGTCATAGGGAGGAAAGGGAGGGGGAGCAGCTGGAGTGGGGGTTAGTGGGTTACAGATGTTGTAATAAGCCATAAATCCAGTGTCTCTGTTCAGTCCATGATTATTAGTTCTAGCAGAGTTACGAATTTAAGCTCCCAGGCTCAAATTTTGCAAGTGTTGCGCAGGTTTCCTTTGAGGATGAGCACAGGTATGGAGTGATCGCTTTGTGAAAAGTGCTCACCCATAGGTGATGTGGTGTTTTTGTCTTTTATCATTTTCCTGTGTGAGTTCATTCAAGAGTGTAGTGATTGTCTGGTTTCACCCACATAGTTGCTATTGGGGCACATTTAATGCACTGGGTGAGGTTGTGATAGGTCTGTGTAGAACCCGTGGATCTTCAAAGTTGTATTGTGCAGGGCGTTGATCATTGTAGCAATGGAGATAAGTCTGCAGGTTTTACATCTGTTGTTTTGGAAGGGTCTGGCGCCGCTTTGCGTTGTTGTGTCCTGATCTGTGGGAACACGCCACTGATGATGAGCTTGAAGAGGTTGGAGGGTTGTTTGAAAGCCAGAAGAGGAAGTTCAGGAAAGATTTATTTCAGGATGGGGTTCCCATCAAGTATGGGTTGAAGTTGTTTGATGATACACTGTATGGGTCCCACTGTGGGGTGGTAGGAAACAACTAGGTGTGTGTGTTCGGGGGGAGGGGAGGATTACTTCTGTACTGAAGCAAGTTCTCTCAGGGTATTTGAATGGCCTGTTTCATGATGTAATCTACTTCTCTGGTGGAGTGTTCTTGTTTGGTAAAGGCGGTTTTGAGTATGTTAAAGTATATATCCTGGACTTTCTCCTCAGAGCATATTCTGTGGTAGCTGAGTGCCTAGCTGTAGATAATAGATTTCTTGGTGTGTTTGGGGTGGTCACTATATCTATGAAGGTAGATGTGGTGATCCAGAGGTTTCGGATATAGGTGTCTGTTGGGTTCCATTGCTGAAGCTGATTGTGTTATCCAGAAAGATGATGCTTGTGCGGGAGAGTTCTAGAGAGAGAGTTTAATGGACATGTGGTGGTTGTTGAAGTTAAGATGGAAATCTGTGAATCTGTGAGGGAGTTTAGGTCATCTGTCCAGAGGATGAAAATATCATTGAGGTATCTCAAGTATATCATTGGTTTTGTGGGGTGTGTTTGCAAATATACACCCACCTTGTCTTGATACAATTATCTGCTACACTTGATTTTAAAAACCTATGGACAGGTTCTTTGTCTTCTGAGGTATTTCTAAGATACCTATCATGAAGGTACCTAAGCACTGCAAGAAGGAAATACATCTTACCATGTGGAGCGGGGTGAATAAACAACAGGAGAGAGGAGAAGGTAAAGTATGCATCCATCTTTTGTAAGGGTGCACTTCACATTGATGAGCACAGTAAATGACATCTGAATGATAATTCTGCATGTGTTTTTAATCTGACATGGAGTAAAGTATGAAAAAATCAAACTCATGGTGCTATGCTGCAGGACACTTGATGAAGTATGGCTTAGGGGTCAATGTGTAGGTCCACTCATCACTCTCTTCCACCTCATCAAAGGCTCCCACTTCTTATTTTAGGGGCAGCTAGAGAGCCTGTCCTTCCTCCCCTTCACCAAACGCCATCACCAGATCTTCAGTATCAACATGGTTTGTGGTTGGTCACTCCCCCAATCTGGAGGAGTGAGACCCAGAAAATCTCTTTGCTTTTCTCTTGCTCCCACCCTTTAAACTTTACAATATCCTGGGGTTGGTACATCCCAGAGTTTGCTGGAAATTCTCCCATTTCTTGCAACTGGGAAAAATATGGGAGCAGGGTGTTTGTCTACATGTCTAAGGGCAGACACATCTGTGTGTGTACTTATGAATATATGTGCACATGCACAACTATGTACATTCTTTGTTTATATTTGTATAAAATATATCAGAATCTAATATTACAAGCACCTGAGATTGCTAGTATTTTTTTAATAGTTTTGTTGATTTTTTTATATCCTTAAAAATAGTGACTAAAGTTGGACTAACAAAATAAAAGCTGACAGAATTATTGAAATTCAGATTTTTATCTTGCCAAAGAAATGTTCTTCAGCCAATGTGCATGTGAAGTAGTGATGACACCTGGTAGCCAGACAAACCAATTCCACTCCTGTGATTTTGCCGTATTTGTGATACAAGTGACAGATAATGTAATTTGCTTTTTTGTTTGTTAGCATGCAGGGATAAAATGGTTTTATTTAATGTGAAGGCAAAGGTTTCAGTTAAAAGTAAGGAAAATACCAAAATCTGTGTGAGGTGCAGCACAGTTTTCACTGAGATTTATCATAGTCTTCAACCACCAGGTTTCATTCCAGACAAACATTTTTATTCCTAGTAAAGGTAAGTGATTTGGCAACTTCATCTAGAAACTTATGACCTGCCTTTATCCATCAACTCTAAATTAACATGCTAGTGGGGCCAAATTGTAAAAGAGAAGCTGATCACCTGTAACCTCCCTTGAAACTTAGCAGAATCTCAGGATTTGCCAGTAGCAGAGCTACCTCTAACTGGACATATTAAGTGCATATGTGTGGACAGTGACGAGTCTTCATTTGCTGACATGTGAAAGTGCTTCAAAATATTTTAAGTAGAAAATCCCTTTGAAAAAGATACACATTTATATTATGGGACAGCACTATGGATCATGTTTTCTAATGAGCTTTTACAATTACATCTGGAAATTGGATGTGCTCAGTCTGACTGAGAACCCCAATTTCATCCAGAAATGTGATTTTTTTTTCACGTGTAAACTGGAGTACAGGCAAAATGTATAGGCACAGTTTTAAAGGACTGTTTGAATATTTGTCCCTTTGTGTTCTAGGCCAGTGGTTCTCCACTGGGGGGGCAGTAAGCAGGTTTCAGGGAGTCTGCCAAAATAAACCTACGAGCAAGGTTTGTGTTAGACTCGCTAGGGCCCAGGGCAGAAAGCCGAAGCCTGAGCAACTTAGCTTCACGGGGCGCTCTGTGGCATGAGGTCCCAGGCAATTGCCCTGCTTGCTACCCAGTAGCACTGGCTCTGGCTTTTAATCTACTGGATGTGCAGAAAAACAGTTGTTGTGGCACAGGTGAGCTGTGGAATTTCTATAGCATGTTAGGGGAGCTTCAGAAAGAAAAAGCTTGAGAACCCCTGTTCTAGGCAACTAATTGCTTTCAATAATAAAGTGGGTCAAAATTGAGTGTCGGGGTTAGACTCCTAAGTCCCGATTTAAGTACCTAAATAAGTGTCCTGATTTTCAAAAATGTTGAGAATCTGCAACACTTGGAAGTTAGATAACTTGTTTAGGTGACTAAATATGGATTTAGGGCACTATGGCCTCAGTTTAGGCACTCATCTTTGAAGCCCTAGGCCTGGAGTGTTCTCTAATAAAGGACAAAGTGCTATTGCAGTGCTATTACAGTAGTATTGATTGAGTTTTCACGGTTTTCTCCTACTTAATGGCAAAGAGAAATTAGTTATTTACCTTTTTCCTTGAAAGTTTTTTCAATAGTCAATACCTGACATAGGCTGATGACTTATAAGGCAAAATAAGGAGGGCAGTTCCTTGACTATACAATGAATAGAGATAAGATCTGTATTATTCTCAAGTATAGACTGAATTTAGGACTTGTACTTCAATATCATCTGACTGTGTTTAAGTCACTGTAAGCTTTAAATGGACTGGTTTTATTTGTATTTCAGACGTCCTGTAAACACTCAAGAGGAGCTGCTTTTATTCATCTGGTCTGAAGGAGCCTTGGAATTTATTGATGCTTCTGATGCACTGCAGCCATTCACTATCTATGAATATCGTGTCAGAGCTCAAAATTCCAGGGGGTCAGTGGATAGTCTGTGGTCTTCAACACAAACTTTGGAAGCTCCACCTTGGGGCATGCAAGCCCCTTGGGCACAAGCTACAAGTGCATATTCTGTGCTGCTGAACTGGACCCAACCTATATCTCCCAATGGGGTTATTTCTCAGTATCGTGTGGTCTATCAAGAGAAACGGAGTGATCCAACGTTTAGCATCCCAGCTATTACAGCATTAACTGTAACGGTAAGAACTTGATACTAAACCAGTGTTCAATTAGTTTATGTTCTGGTTTGACCTGTGTTACTTTAAAATGTTGATATAGGGCCATTTTTTTCCATTAGGTGCCTGAAATTAGCCTTTGGACACCTAATTTACATTCATATATATCCAGTGTATGCATAACAGCTACCCATGTAGATGTCTAGTCATTGATATACAGATGCTAATGTATGATTTTGAGCACAAAGTAGTGTTTTTCTTGCGTAAATAGGTGTGCATAGCTACTTGTGTGTACCTCACTTTGCAAATGTGGTCCTAAATCTTCTATGCAATTGTTCATAGATTCCAAACCTGAAGGCACCATTGTGATCATCTAGTCTGAGCTCCTGTATAATACAGGCCATAGAATTTCCCCACAATAATTCCTTTTAGAAAAAACATCCAATGTAATTTTTATTCTTTTGTTGTTTTAAGAGGCTGCTCATAACAAGCTAAACAAAATCAATCCCACTTGGATTTAATGTTTTTATTAATCTGAAATCAATGCTGGTTTAAGCATGACATGAAAATTATTGTTAGTTCTACATATGTGATTTATTTACAGAATCTATGAAGATTTGCCTCATAGCTCTTCTGAATTAGAAGCAAATCAACTATTACAGGCACACAAAATACATAATAATAATAATAATACTTCTATACTACCATCTACTTAAAAGTGCTTTACAAACATTAATTAATGAAGTCCCATGGAGGTACTATTATCTTCATTATGTGTAAACTGAGGCACGGGATAATGTGATTGGACCAAGACCATGATGTGAGTCAGAGGCAGAGCTGGTAATGCTGTCTATGATTACTGACTAGTCCTCTCCTCTAACCATTCACTTCAAATCTTTCTATAAGGGATACTTATAGAGCTGCACTAGACTATATAATGCAATGTCAGCTATTGCATTTGACAGTCTTCTGAAAACAATCTTTTATAATGTACCAAGAATCTATTGTGTTGGTATAATTTTAAGATTCGTAGGAACCCAAACTTGAATAGCTCAGATACCCTAACCTTCCTTTTGTCCAAAACATGGGCGTGTCCCAAGACCATTATCGGTTACATTGATAATCTAAAATTATTCATTTATATTCCATTTATATTCAGATAACTGAAGTTGTACATAGTGGCATGCTGAGATTTAATATTCAGTATTAAGGTCTTATCGTAAACTTCCTTAGAATAGTCCTCTTGACATAAATGAGTGGAATCTAGCTGAGGGATCTAAGGTACCCATAGGTATATGCTTCTAAAGCACACTATATCTTTCCTAGAAGCCTTAAAGGATAAGATTTATCATGCCTCTTACTGTGAAAAGAGAGCGAGGTCCTGGGTTAAATGGCAGGAATGCATGCTTTTGGCCTCTGCGATCCATTGCTTCTGCACTATATAGCATGCTAGGTTGTAAAAATGTAGGCTGGGACTTTTCAAAGGAGCCTAACTTCCATTGAACTTCAGTGGGACTTGGGCACCTAATTTCCTTATGTTTCTTTGAAAAGCCCAGCTAGGATGTGTAATGTGATACCTAGAATTTCAAAATGGAGAAATGTCGGAAGCTTCTTTTCACATCCTGTTCAGGCAGCATCCAACATGTTTCTGAGCATCAGAATTCCCTTGTCCAGTTATGCATTGCAGTGTCTTCTAGGCATGCCAACAACAACAGAAAGCATCCAAGATGGTTGTATTGTGGGTAATCAAATCTACTAAAATGGCCTTTTAAGTAATATTATTACAGTATATTTCTTTAACAACATCATTTAAAAGCCTTTTAAATTAACAGTTGTTATTTGTTGAATTAGTACCTTTCTGGCTCCAAAATGCTTTATTTTCCCCAAACACTAAATGGAATCCCAATTACATTAGCAGTGTATGCAAAGTTGTTTGACAAATACTAAGGTGACCGTGACTTACATGCTTTTTTTACTTTCCTGTATCATGCGTATTTATCCATTTTACTGCCTTTTTTTATTTTAATATTATACTGCCCTTTGGAAAGAAATCTCTGCATTTGATTCTCCTCTCTTCTATGCTTGTTTTACATTGGTGCAACTGCATTGAACTCAGTGGAGTTAGTCCTGATTTACACCAGTGTAACTGAGACCAGAATCATGCCTTTTGTGTTCTGAATATAATGTAACAACTAGAGCCTGGACTCAAAGATATTGACATAAAGTGCACTGAGTCCTGTTATCAAAGATACCATGAGGTCAGGTCAATTATCACAACAGGTGAAAACCTGGACACTAAGTTTCAAAGTTATAACTCCTTGGAAATAGAATTTTATCATGAACTTGCTGATACACCCTTAACTGTAGCTTTTGTGAATGAGACACTTTAATTAAAATGTAATTTTATTGAAGGAACTAGCATTCCAATGATTAAACTTCTGCCCCTTTAAAATATAGCTTTCAGGGGTATGAGGCTAAATCATTTAATCTCCTAAAGCGTTTCTATTGGCGCTCCCCATGGGATACGCCATTAGTCATTCTCTCACACAAGCTTCCATGTTACAATGCAAGACAAAGTATTGAGCAAGCAATGAGCTCTCTCCTTTATTTAATCTGTTAGACTTTTTTTATCACATTAGAATATTCCACGGGAAAAAAGGAAATGCCTGTATTGTAAGGCTTATGGCCATACGTGTTCTTGTTATTCACACCCGTGCTCCTTGCCTATTGGACATGACCTAGCCACTTTAAGCTTAACCAAAAAATAAACTTGAAGACTTTATTGGAAATGGTGATGCATAATAAAAATTTGAGGGTTGGTAATATCATTGCAGGTTCCTCAATCTTGATTATTTCTTTTCTATCCATTTCCAAATCCAAATGAGATTTGCCTTGTGGGTTTTCAAAACACTTGATAGATTTATTCTGCCTCCCTGAAACATAGCCATTTACTTCCCTGTAAAGATGTGTTAAGCTATATTTAATTTAATATGTGTCAAATCCGTGGCATAGGCCTTTATAATTATCTGACCACTTTGAATTTTGTGATGCCAATGGGAATAGAACTCGGATATCTATGTTCTAATATCGCAAACTTCTACCACTTGAACTAAAAAAGAATCTCCATTAGCTGCTGGCAGCATAGGGCCTATGACACACAGAGAAGTAATTCTGATTCTCTCCAGTAGAGGGAAGTGTCACTCAGATTATCCGTGACAGTCTGACAATATTCTGTAATATTCTGAACAAATCTTATGGAATTAAGATAAACATGATTGAATTAAGTTACACTTTATTGAATTAGGGTTAATACCTTCTGGGTACATTGTATTAAAAATTATGTATGTGTTATTGTGGCATTGTATGTACCTTCTCTAGTAGGGAGGGGGATGCTAATGTGATTCCTCCGGTTATCAGCCCTTTGAAACCACCCCCCAGAGAAGTCTTCATATACTAGTTCAAACTGGATTCTACAGGGACCAATAGACAAAGTATGTGGTTTTGGATGACTAGCCTGGTTTTGAACTAGCTCAGGGCCTTCTTCCTGATCCAGCAAATGGACAGGACCCCTGGTCTGGACAGCCCTAGTCCTTAGGCTAGGGTTGTGAGGAGTGGGCCTACTGAGGTCTCATAAGACTGGGTGCTTGTCCTGAGCTGAAGCTGTGATGAACTTGTGACCACAAATGAAATTCCTTGGATGGGGAGTTGAAAGACTGCTCCTGCCAGACCCCTTGTTAGGGTTGGGGTTAATTCTGGTAAGCTTATTAGCATGCGTGCAGGTTCTTTTATTGTATTTAATGTGTTTTCCCTATAATGCTTTTTACCATAAGAATTAAAGTAGGTCTGTATAGGAAGTGCAGTGTGGTAACTTATATCTGTAGCAATTACACCTGTTATCCATCTCTGGCGAGAAAACAAGCAGGTGTCCTTGGGCAACCTGCCTCTGCTGGGAAATACACATTGTAGGCAGGGAACTGTGCAGCCTGGAAATAGCCTGGTCGCAAAGGAGAGAGACGGGTCCCCAATCAGAAAGGCAATGGCAGGGGAGCTGGAAGCCTGAGAGTGGGTGCTATGTTGGACCACTTAGCGGAAATGCAGGTACAGTTGTCTTGAACTGTAACACTACCTAGCTAGTTAATTACAGTGTTTAGTGCTGATTGAAAGGTGGCAGCATGGTAGACTGAAGTCCAACAATGGCTGTCATGAAAAAGTCAAAGGATGCTACCCTGTTACCAGAGCTACTGAAACTGCTGTATGTCAAATACCACTCTGAGGTGAGTGTGAGTAAATGCTGTCTCTTTCATGGATATAATATACCACGTCTCCTATGACCGCTAGTCTAAATATTTGGCTGTTTGACAACCAGATGACCAGGGAAGGCCAGGCAAATCAAGAAGATAAGTTATAAGGAGTTCAGTATCTAAGAAAAGGTAACTCTTAGAATGTATTTTGGAGAAAGGGTGAGAGGAAGGGAGAAGGAACAAATGTAAAGGCGGAAGTTGAAAAAGAAAACAAGACAATCATGCAATAGAGGCAAAAGACAGAATAGAAAATAAGTGAGAGAAGTTGAGTACAGTGCTCTGCACAGGGATATATAGAATGTGTGTGCCATCAGACTCTGCTTTACTGGAGATTTTATGGTCCCTCACCTCTGCACAGATCCCCACTGACTTCAGTGGGACTCTGCCTAGGCTCTAGCAGTGTGCCTATGTGCAGTGGATTACAGGATTAGGCACTTGTGTGCTAAACCAGTCACTCCTCAGTAAAGAGTAGCTAAGGGTGCCATGTACATTTGAAAGGATATAATAAAAGATATAGAGACTAGCCATTTTCATTTGATTGATAGATTTTAGTTTCTTAGGCCCTGATCCTGCAAACACATAAGCACATGCTTAACTTTAACCACATGAGTAGTCCCATTGGATTTTGCAGGATGAGGGCTTTAGATTTGCATGTGGGGATTTTGACTTCCTGTATGTGTTGTTAATAACTTGCACATTGAGGGTGCTACCAGAATACAAATT